ATTGGGTTGGGATTGAATTGGGGTTGGGGGTTAGGTTGGTGTTGGGGTTGAGTTAGGGCTGGGGTTGAGTTGGGGCTGGGTTGGCGTTGGGGTTGGCATTAGGGTTTGCATTGAGTTGGGGTTGGGGTTGGATTGGTGTTGGGGTTGAGTTGGGGTTGGGTTGGGATTGAGTTGGGTTTGGGGTTCAGTTGACGTTGGGGTTGGGTTTGGGATTGGGTTGAGATTGAGTTGGGGTTGGGGGTTAGGTTGGCATTGGGGTTGGGTTAGGGTTGGCAGCGAAGGGTGGGGGCTGATTGCAAAGCCAAGCCATCTGCAGAGTTCCAAAGGGAGCAATACCCGGACAGCAGCACGCGGGGACGCTTGGCTGCAGCCACGCAGCTGCCAGACATCACCGTCCAGGTATGGTGCATGGGCACACCTGTGTTGCACGTGCGTGTGTTGCACAGGCCCACGTTGCACACCCCTGTGTTGTATGCGACTGTGTTGCATGTGCGTGTGTTGCACAGACCACCATTCTGCACTCCTGTGATGCATGTGCCGGTTTTGCACGTGTGTGTGTTGCACAGGCCTCCATTGCACACACCTGTGTTGCATACAACTATTTTGCACATGCGTGTGTTTCACAGACCTCCCTTGCTCACCCCTTTGTTGCATATGCCTGTCTTGCAAATGCATGTGTTGCACAGACCCCCACTGCACACCCCTGTGTTGCATATGCCTGTTTTGCACGTGTGTGTGTTGCACAGACCCCCACTGCACCCCTTTGTTGCACATGGCTGTGTTACACGTGCATGTGTTGCACAGATCCCCATTGTGCACTCCTGTGTTGCATATGCTTGTTTGCACACGCATGTATTGCACACACCTGCATTGTGCACCCCTGTGATGCATGTGCCTGTTTTGTACACGCATTTGTTGCACAGACCACCATTGTGCACTCCTGTGTTGCATGTGTCTTTTCTGCACATGCATGTGTTGCACAGATCCCCATTGCACATGTATGTGTTGCACAGACCTGCATTGTGCACAGCTATGTTGCATATGCCTGTTTTGCACATGCATGTGTTGCACACACCTGCACTGTGCACCCCTGTGATGCGTGTGCCTGTTTTGTACACGCATTTGTTGCACAGACCCCCACTGTGCACTCCTCTGCTGCATGTGTATGTCTTGTGCACAACCATTTTGCACACTCCATGGCACACTCCTGCACGTTGCATGACATATTGTTGGCACGCTCCATGGCACACTCAGTTGCACACTCCTTGGCACATCCTCGCACACTCTATGGCACACTCTGTTGCACACTCCTCGCACACTCCACGGCATGCTCCTGCATGTTGCATGGCACATCCTTGCACACTCCATGACACATCCTTGCACAGTCCTTGGCACACTCCTGCATGTTGCACGGCACATCCTTGCACCCTCCATGGCACATCCTTGCACACTTCTTGGCACACTCCTGCACATTGCATGGCACATCCTTGCACACTCCATGGCACATCCTTGCACACTCCATGGCACACCCATGCACAGTCCTTGGCACGCTCCATGACACATCCTTGCACACTCCTTGGCACGCTCCTGCATGTTGCACGGCACATCCTTGCACCCTCCATGGCACATCTTTGCACACTCCATGGCACATCCTTGCACACTCCTTGGCACACTCCTGCACATTGCATGACATATTCTTGGCACACTCCATGGCACATCCTTGCACACTCCATGGCACATCCTTGCACACTCCATGGCACACCCACACATGCTCCATGCCCGCAGCACAGCTT